ATATTATTATTAATATACATTTACATTATTATTGTATATGTGTTTAAAACTCAACAATACTTCACACAAATCGTCGCCAAACCTATCCATTGAGTCCAACAAATACTTTTTGGCCATTATTCAACTTTTATCAAAATTTATAATAATTATATATTTATTAATTAAACCGTTATTAAATTATTGATATCTTATCTCAAATAATATTTAATTCATTATTATTAAAAAGATATGATTTTTAATTAATTTATAACAAAATCACATGTTTTTCTAACAAAGGAAACAAAACGAGTGGCAAAAGTGATGTGAAAACAAGTGATCAGTAATAGAGTTGTGAAGGCATTGAGTTTTAAACACAAATATTATAATAATTTGATTCATTAACAGATAAGTTACAATATAATATAAAAACACAATAATTTTAATATTAGGTTAAATGTTAGTAAGCATTTAAAAATTAATTTCATTTTATTTATTATAGACATTTTGAATAAAAGTACACGTATAAAAACATATACATTTTAATACTTTATTTTATTATAAGTAAGCCTAGAAAAAAGTGTGTTTTAGTGCTTTCTTCACAGAAAAAATAAATTATTTTTATTAGAAATATTAAAGTTGTGTTCAATAAAGCATTGAGTCATTTAATGTATCAAACATTACTTGTATCTAAAATTATGCTTTTCTGTAAAGAAAGCACTAAAACGCACTTTTTTCTAGGCTTAATTATAAGACCAACTTTTTTATTATTCATAAACTATTAATTATTCAATAGATTTTACTAATAGATTGTATTCAAAATCGTTGTCATTATTGTAAACAGTATGCAGTTTGGGATGTGTTGCCAACGATTGCAATAAAGTGTTTGGGATGTCATAGTGTGATGCCGGCAACGTTAGGACCACAAGTTTCGGAAAATTGCAATTAAGTTATGATGATTTTCAATTCAAGTCCGACTATAATCCCGATAACAGATATTATCAGTTAATTCCCCGACATTTGAGAGAAATATTCTCAAAATTACCAAAACTAAAGAGATTTGTGTTAAGACATAGGTTTCCGTTCACAACACCCGACGATATACTAGTGTTGAATGAAATGCGCGAAACAATTGGCGATTGTTTTACAAAATTAAAACGTCTGGAAATTGACGGCAATTTAACCGAAGATGATTAAAATGCAAACAATTAACGCATTTAAAATTGATGGCTATATTGCTGTTTGATGTGACAAATATGTCTCAATATTTTGATATATATTTCCCAAAACTTGTGTTTTTATCAATAGTATCGCTAGACTATGACATCCCTAACACTGTGTGGCAATCGTTGGCAAAACATCCAAAACTACAGAAACTACATGATAATTATAATTGTAGCTATAATTTGATAGATAATTATTATTAAGAAAAAGTTTAATTATAAATATTTGCGTGATTGAATGCATTATGCAAATTATATTTGCAAAAACATATGCAAAAATAACCTCTTCTACTGTAAAGGCCAAAAATTATATAATTATTTAACTAGTCTAATAAACCATACTAATTATTGTACATTTACAGTTTTATTGCAACTTTAATTATTAAAATGAATAATCTATTTGATAAATACACTATTCCAAGAGTGTATGTTACTAATTAAAATATGCACTTTATAAAATAGATAGATCATAAGTGATTTTGTTATTATGTTTAATAAAAATATTCCCCATGTTTATTGAAATTAATTATATCGTCACTTACTCTACAGATCACGAAGATATTTGCTTAACATTGAAATATAATTTCATAGAAATGTTTTTAACATTGATTGTATGGGAAATACTTGTTAGTAATTTTTACTATAAACTTTTATTTGGCACATTTTTCTGTTAATGATGTTATTACAGTTTACAATTTAAAATATTTTATTTAAACATAATTTCAATTTCTCTCTCTCTCTCTCTCTCTCTCATTATATAAATTAAATTGATTGATTAAAAATTATGTGAACATTATAAATAAAATTAATTTTTAACTCAATAAACAAATTAATGAATTAATTAATACTAAATTCAATAATGTTTATTATTATTTATTTATTATTTTGTATATCTTTATCTTTTATAAATTATAAATTAAATAAATAATTTGTACTATTGTTAGTTATTTGATATATTTTATATTATATTATATCATATCATATTTATAATTATAACTTATTTCATATTTCATTAAAACAAATGAAACAAAAAGCTAATTTGTATATGGTATAATACAGTATAATATAATAGTTCACGATGGGCCTACAATTTAAAACTAGTATAGCACAATATAAAATTGATAGTCTATTATTCATTTATATTATTAAAGTTCATAAATAATAATACAAAACCAAGTATTTTAATTCAATTTATGCTAATTAAAAATAAAGGCTTCTGGTGCATCGCCCAAAAATTATATAATTATTTATGTAGTCTAATAAAATATACTAATTAAGATTCATTTACAGTTTTATCGCAACTTTTATTATTAAAATATATAATCGTTTCAATAAATACACTATTCTTATAATGTACGTTATTATTTGTGATTAATAAAAAGTTATTTGTGCCATGCAATATAGAATGTTTGGTCAAAATGTTAAAATTAATACAGGTATATTATGTTTTTAGATAATTATCAATTTCACTTTTTAATAATCAATCACATTTTGTTTACAATTATTAGATTAACTAATAATACAAAATTTATATTATTTATTTCTTGATCATATTATTAACCAAGGCTATTGTTAGTTTGTCGTAAACAATATTTACCATAAACAATAAATTGACGTAAAATTCAATGTTTTAAACTAATAAATAAGTTAAATTATTCATTAATTAGTAAAATACTTATAATTTATACATTCGTTGTAATAAAATTAGTAATAAAAAACATAACTACTATCGAGAAGTAAAATATTAAATTTAGATTTTAATGTGCTATCAAGATTTTATTTAAGGATAAATAAATTACTCAATAATAATGAGTGAAAAGTCGATAATAAGTGATTATTTTGCGGGTAAAAGTGTATTCATTACGGGCCCCACCGGTTTCATAGGGAAAGTATGTGTTTATTAATAACTACAATGTTTAATTAAGCTTAAAACTATCAGGCTAATTTATTTTGTCTTGCCAATTAAAACTGACTAGATGCTTGTAGAGAAATTATTACGATTTTGTACTGATTTAGACACCATTTATATACTGATACGTGAGAAGAGGGGACAGAGTTGTGAGCAAAGGCTTGAATCGCTATTACAGTCAAAACTGTTTAGTTTCGCACTCGATATCAATAAAGTCCGACACAAAGTGGTTGCCATCGCCGNAGCAAAGGCTTGAATCGCTATTACAGTCAAAACTGTTTAGTTTCGCACTCGATATCAATAAAGTCCGACACAAAGTGGTTGCCATCGCCGGCGACCTATCCGTCGATGGTATGGGTCTTAAGGTATACCATATTATGTTTCAAAAAACAATTGGACTCGATTGATGTCCTTTAATTTAATAACAAGGTAAATAACCCTGAACTATAATTGTTAATATTATTAATTTACAGCTTATTAAATAAAGATTTGTTATTTAACATAAAATTGTTAAAATAAATTACTATATACACAAAATACGTAGCATGCACAAATAAACTGAACTAGTTACATGGTAAAAATGTTATACCCATTGGAGTCGGACCGGGAACTACTGATAGGGAAGGTGTCGGTGATGTTTCACGTGACGAGAGATGTGAAGTTTAATGAGACGATTAGGGATGCGGTCACTTATAACCATACGTGCCGTACAGACCATGAATGACACCAAACTTACCTGGTTTTAAATATAAACGCATTTATAATTTATTATTAAATTAATTAAAATAAAAATACAAATGATAAAAAACGGGAATACAGTAGAAATCAATATAAAATATTTAAAATTATTTAATATTAATTAATAAAGATGAAAGTAACAAATTGTTTCAATAAATGGGTTTGAGTTTAGCCACGGAGTAAATAACCAAGAACAAATGGGAATGCTAACGCGGCAAAAAACATGCTGACAGTAAACAATTCATAGAGCCTACTACTTTTGACCCAGCCCAAATTGCCGGTACGTTTTTTACGTTGATCTACCATCTCGGTTGACGCTCGACGCATGTCGTACGCCCAGCCCAACCATGCAAAAAAATCAATGAATAGTGTGCCCAGGTTAAATACTTCCAACGGACCGAACTCGCTGGCCCCATAGTCCCTAAATAATTGCATATTTAATTGTATAAATTTAACAAGTTAACAAATAAATTTCTAGAAATCTAGTCACCATGGAAACGTGTGATGATAATTATGAAAACCTTCGCCAAACATCATATGCCTTACATAACACTCGGTTGGGTTTACTGTGTTGTCGTACGGCTATAACAAGCATATTACATAATTATATATTTTAAATTATTAAATTTAAAATTGAATGTACTTTGTAGCCCCAAGTGTGTGCCATCGAATTAATGCACATGGCAAAATTTGTAGTAATTAAATATCTGAGCATTACACCCACAAAATAAGAGTCCCATAAAGTTTCGCCCCATAGATAATAGGGTATTAGCGTTGGTATAGCGGCCCATATTATCGCAACTAATTTCGGATAGTGGCGCCGATGAAATTGAACAAGCTGGTCCCGGTCCAGATCAGTCATATTAATGAGTGTACCTTGTTTAATAACATCAGGGTGTTTTTTGCTCAACAACCAGCCCACGTGCGAAAAAAAGAAACCCCGATTAATGTTGTGCGGGTCGGCGTCGGTGTCCGAGTACTTATGATGGGTGCGGTGATCACGTGACCACTTGTATATGTTGTCCTGTAATGCCAGCGTAAACATTGTCATTATTATGTATTGCAGGGCACGATTGGCCTTATATGAACGGTGACACCATAGCCGATGCACTCCACACTATAATATTTAATTTATTTGATCATTATTGTTTGATTAAAAATATTATTAACGTATTCCCTTAATATTCAAGTAGTTTTTGGTAATTTAAATTTTGCGTACAATTAAGTGAAAGTAATACCGTTATCACAATTTAAACTGGTAAAATACCTGTATACCCAGTGCAGTAAATATCACCATAACATACATGTAGATAATGGTGATTGGTTTAGCATAAAACATGCCCCGATATAAGCCGTATAAACCGGCCATGTACAATATTACCATAGCCACAACGTTGGGCCACCATATTATCTCTAACTTATGAGCCTTTTTATAATTGCTATAATCATGATTGAAATTGTTATTTAAATCTGAGTATACTCATTTGAATTAGAATGTGCATTTTAATTAGTTCAATGTGATTATACTTATTTTCATTTGTTTGGGTCTCAATGTTGTCGTTAATGTCATTTATTGAGCGTTTATTCAACAAATAGTCTGTATTATCATCATGATCTGTTTTTAAATTAAAAGTATATCACAGTAAATACATCAAGTTGTTAATATTAATAAGGTGTTAAATAAGTATTAATAGTGTTCAACATACAATTGGAGTCCATGGTCACTTTATTGCGTCGGTTTGTT